CAACGTGGATGGAACTGGAGGGTATTATGCTGAGTGAAGTAAGTCAATCGGAGAAGGACAAACAGTGTATGTTCTCACTTATTTGGGGAATATGAATAATAGTGAAGGGGAATATAAGGGAAGGGAGAAGAAATGTGTGGGAGATATCAGAAAGGGACAGAACATAAAGACTTCTAACTCTGGGAAATGAACTAGGGGTGGTGGAAGGGGAGGAGGGCGGGGGGTGGGGGTGAATGGGTGACGGGCACGGAGGGGGACACTTGACGGGATGAGCACTGGGTGTTATTCTGTCTGTTGGTAAATTGAACACCAATAAAAATTAATTTATAAAAAAAAAAAAAAAAAGAGACATAAGAGAGTCTCTACCATGTGAGGATACAGCAAGAAGATGGCTTTCTGCAAACTAGGAAGAGAGTCTTCATTAGGAACTCACCTTGGTCTTGGACTTCCCAACCTCCAGAAGAGTGAAAATGTTTCTGTTGTTTAAGCCACTCAGTATGTGATGTATATAGCAGCAAGAGCTAAGGTAGGACATTAGGAGGTAGTTTTCAGGAGCAGGAAAGAAACGGTGAGTTCTGGAATTGGGACATCGTAGTACTAGATTTTAAGCTATATTTTGGAAGTGGGATTGGATGGATTGGATAGAAGAAATGAACAAAAGGAAGATATTCAAGGATGCTTCCTTGATTTCTGGTTTGGACACTTGAGTGGAGGATAGCGCTGTTTGCTGATGGAAAGGACTGGTTTTGGGAGCAGATGTCAAGAGTTCAGTTGTGTGCCTCCTGAGTTAGAAAAGCCTGACACCCAAGTAGGGAACTGGTGACTGTTGGGTGTAAGCCTGGAGTTGAGAGGAGAGGTCTGTATTGGAGAAAACCATTTGGGAGTCACCAGCATTTGGAAGAATTTAAAAGCCACTTGGAGACCGAGTAGAGAAGTAGCCAGCCAAAGGAAGGGAAACAGCTGTAGCTCGTCATACCATGACAAAAGACACAAAGTGCTCCTAGGGAGACCCAGGGCTCCTAGCCACAGTCTATTGAGCTTTAAGGCTTTCTTAGGTCCTCTCAATTTTGGCCTTAGGTGACAGTCTCCTTGCCAACACCCCTCCTACACCCCCACCAACCACCCCCCTCCTTTACTGGCACCCTGAAGAGGCATTTGTGTTTATATAAATTTTAATATAAAATGTTCTGTCCCTCCTATTTGAATTCTCTGTGAAACTTTATGGGGTAGAGGTTGGGAAACCCCAGAGTAGGGATTAAAATGGGACAGAGGTACATATCTGGCACATATAAAGGGATTCCTGGAGAATGGGACATCTGTAGGGGTGGAAGAGGTTTTGTTGGGAGAAAATAGGTAGTTTCTTAGGCATCTTTCCATCTCACAGTGTGGTTAGTGCCAGATTATGCCACTAAAATCCTTCATCATGTTTCAACAGGCATATACTGATTGTCCTGTTTCTGTTAGGCACTAAATGCTGAACTTCCTCAGGAATATGACACAAAAATGCTATACTATACGAGTGTATTCCAAGCTCAAGAGGGCCACTGCTGGCTATGCTGGTAGAACCTTTGGTTTCTGAAAGCAGACCCTAACTTTCCATATCATAGCTGTTTTTTTTTTTTTTTTATTTGTTCATGGTTTGACTACAAACACCCTGTCAACATGTCCTGCTGCTGACCTTATTTATTTCTAGACAGCTGCTTCTGGGGCACCCATTTGCCCCTTTAGTCTCGAGACTCTAGTTCTGTGCAAGGTGTCTCCCTTCAATGCTTCTGCACACTAATAGTTACTCAGAGTAACTCAATAACACTTCTACTTCATTCCCCTTCCCCTGCAGAGTGACTCTAAGTTGTCACAGTGGTAGATATTTTTTCCTACTGTATTTCTTTCTCCTTAAGTGGTTGGTTAACACTGTGCTTTGTGTATTTTATCTTTATTGAATCAGCCTAATATATTTCTTTGTTCTGTCATGCATTCAACAAATATTTATCAAGCACTTACTACATGGAAGACATTGTTATAAGCGCTAAGCATATACTTCTGATCAAAAGCAGGTAATTATCCCTGCCCTCTCAGGGCTTCTGTTCTATTGTGTTCCATATATTCTGCAGACGCTCCATTATATCCCAATTTATCTTTGCAACAATGATAATGGCTTGGTTTTTCACAGTGCTCTACTTAGGACAAGTTCAAGTGAGCAGCTCACTCCATCCATAAAGCTATGTTTTACCAATAGGTACCCATTAGCTTGTATTCCTGAAAGGGAAATTACACTGCTGTGTACATTTTTTTAAATATTTTTATTTTTTTAAAATTTTTATTTATTTATGATAGTCACACAGAGAGAAAGAGAGAGGCAGAGACACAGGCAGAGGGAGAAGCAGGCTCCATGCACCGGGAGCCCGACGTGGGATTCGATCCTGGGTCTCCAGGATCGCGCCCTGGGCCAAAGGCAGGCGCTAAACCGCTGTGCCACCCAGGGATCCCTGTTGTGTACATTTTTGTTTGTTATAACTTTTTATCTTGGAAAGAAGAGTTGTTTGGTTTTGAAATTTAGCAGCCATTTATTAATACTGGTGATTGAATGATTTGGCAGTTTTTTTTTTTTTTAAGATTTTTTATTTATTTATGATAGTCACAGAGAGAGAGAGAGGCAGAGACACAGGCTGAGGGAGAAGCAGGCTCCATGCACCGGGAGCCCGATGTGGGACTCGATCCCGGGTCTCCAGGATCGCGCCCTGGGCCAAAGGCAGGCGCCAAACCGCTGCGCCACCCAGGGATCCCCGGCAGTTTGTTTTTTTAAAAAGATTTTATTTATTTATTTGACACAGAGCACAAGCAGGGGTAGAGAGAGGGGGAGAAGCAGGCTACCCACCGAAAAAGGAGCCTGACGTGGGGGCTCAATCCCAGGATCTCAGCCGAAAGTAGACACTTAACCAACCAAGCTGCCCAGGCACCTCTGATAGCAATGTTTAATAATTTTTTAGTGTTCATAGTTAGATGTGATATAGGTACATACTTTGTCATGAAGGAACATAGACATATCTTATCAATGGTCTTTAATAGAAGCTGTAGGAGATAAGTAATTCTAAGGGAAATAAATATTTAAAATGATCTTACCTATGAATAATTTGTGATTTCTTCCTAACCCATTCACAGACTATCCTCCAACTTTAAAAATAATTGAAAGTAGATGTTCCTCTTGCTCTGTTAAAAATTATTTGAATCTTTTAAAAGTATCTAGTAGAATAACAGTTAATCCAAACTCCTAAAAATTTCAATCTATTTGCAAAAGAGTATTCAGAAGTAGAAGTTTTTGTGCTTACATGGAAATAAAACCTTTATATAATCTTACGTATAAATTATTTTCATATAAGAGAGTATATTCTTTGTAGGAAATTAAGCAGTACTTTCCAGATTTACTTGGTATGATTTTTTTTTTAAGATTTTATTTATTCATGAGAAACAGAGAGAGGCAGAGACATAGGCAGAGGGAGAAGCAGGCTTACTGTGGGGAGTCCGATGTGGGACTCAGTCCTGGGACCCTGGATTCACGCCTTGAGCCAAAGGCAGACGCTCAACCGCTGAGCCATGCAGGCGTCCTTTCAGGCCTTTATTTTTGGCATAAAGGGCAGCAGGGCAGATCTGAATGGATATTGCCAAGACCCGAATCCCGTACATTCAGCAGTGTGGAAGGGGTCAGAGCAGGTGGAGTCAGAAGGTCGAGTGTCAGTGGATAATGGAAGATGAGAGATGTCATAAATCAGAGCCTACCGTGAATCCAGGCTGAGCTTGGGACAAAGATAGGTCTCCAGGAAAAGGGTGAGTGACCAGTGGGTGTCACAGCCAGAGGTTTGATGGCAGCAATGACTGTTGTGAATCACACTGTGAGTTAGACCTTGGCTTTTGGGACACCCCAGGCTACTGAGGACCGACCACAGAAATTAACTGGGACAGAAGTCAGGATAATTAGCAGGTGTTCAAGGGATTTACTACCAGCATGGCTGTGGGTTAAAGTGAACCCTAGTGCACAGATCAGGCAATAAAGTGAAGAAGGCATGTGGATCAGAGAAGATTCAGGCAAAACCCTTTCTCTGCCCCGAAGAGTGTGTTTGGAATGTGACCTCCAGTTCTGGGATATCTGTGGGCTCTGGGCAGCACCAAGACTTAAAGCTCAGAGTAATGATGTTTCTGAATTCTAACATTTGGCACTTTATTAAATAAAAATTTCTACCATTCCTAATACCAAGGTCAAGATGAAGGACGTGGGCAAAGTCCAGATTCTAATAAATAGCTTATATTTATTCAGCACTCACTGTGTCAGGTACTTTTCTAAGTACTTTACATGTATTGTTCCATTTAGCCTTCCTATCGACCTATTTAGGGAGCCAGAGGTTGGCTTGCCGAGATCTAACTTGAGCAGTAATAAGATATGAGGAAGGACCAAGTCTGATGTGCAAAGGCATGGGATTATAGTATTCACCAAACACCAGCAAGTTCTGAGTGCTTAAGTTTATCATTAGCCTTCCTCCCTCATTGTTTTATGACCCACCACCATTTGCTGTTACTGGCATATTACATGTGCCTCGGGCCAGGTGTACTTGTTATGGCATATATCCTTAGCCCCTGGCCAGAATGTCTTTCCAGACCACTTCCACTCTGCTCGTTCCCCTTCCTGACTTCCCATCGCTTTTATCTATGCACATTTGGTGACTTGCTTCTATTCCTTTTTCCTTTTGTGTACTTGTTTTTAATATAATATGTGTAAATTTTGCTTCATCATCAAGCACAGAAGTCTGTATGGCTTCTGTATTTCCCCCAGAACCAGCATCATTATGAATAATCCAATAAATTCACACACTATATTCTATATCTTCCTTTCTACTTTGATTTTAATCATGTTGTAATCAACTGTTAAGAAACTGTTTTATATATCTTACAATATAGGAAAAGTTACTTTAAAAAGTTTTTGTTTTTTTTTTTCTTTTTAATTTTCACAGGGCAAACTCAGAAAATGAATCTTTTCCAGGCGATAACAAGCGCCTTGGATAACTCATTGGCTAAAGATCCTACTGCAGGTAAACTTCCTTTGTGCTTGACTGTGGTAGCATGTTAATTCAGAATTGCAATTTGCTGGAAATATTGAGTCTGAAGTTTAATGGTTAACATTACATATATCTGAAATTTTTTAAAAGGTCTGATATCACAAAAATATGGTATTAACACATGTCTAAAATCAATTCATTATGAATCAATTCTCATGTATATCTCGCATCATCAAGTCAGCTTTCTTCCATAGTATGTGTGATCCTGTTATTATCTTAATACTTTTTGGATTAATGCCTACTAAGGACTTCTGTTCCTTCAGCATATAGAAAAAAAGTAGGAAGTACTGCTTCATTCAGATTTATAAACCTGTTTATGAAATGAAGATTTGATTCCATGCTTTCCTTTGAGATACATTGTCATTCCACCTACAAGATTTTTGGGAAATAACTTTAATTATCAAACTTGGTAAGATAAAGTTATTTATTATTGGTAGAAAAACAATTGTTCTTTATGTTTTCTTTATTTGGTTGGCTTTACTTCATATATTATATATATATATATATATATATATATATATATATATAGTATACCTGGGACTTCCACTTGAGAATCCTAGTTTTAAATCAAGTGAAGAATGGGTTGTGAGGAGGAACTGAAAGCTACACTTGTGGATGATGAGATCTTGCTTTGTTTGAATGCCATCTGAGAATAATTGATGTTGATGAGTAATTTAGGGTGAATTGTTTTTCTAAGGTCCATAAATCTGGTTAGGTGCATTAAGAGGACTAGAATTCAACTCTTTGAACACCCATTTTTATTGTCCTTGCTTCACTATATCCCGCCATACTTGCCTCCTTTCACGGAATTTAAGTCCTTTTCCTACTTGTAACTGTTCTCTCACCTTGGAATGCTTTTCCTTCAGCCTTTCAGATTGTTTGTTGACTTTCACTGTATACCATGTAAAAAAGACCTGAGCCTGGAGTGTGAGGCATAGTTCTGCCTCTTACTTTCTAACTTGTCAAGTTACTTTATTACTTCTCTGGCCTCATTTTCTTCATGGGTAAGAACAAGAGGACCTTCTAGATCAGTGGCTTTTCATCAATCGGGGTAATTTTAATCCTCCTTCTTCCTCTTACATTTAACAATGTCTGGAGACACTTTTGGCTGTCACAACTGTGTGTGTGTTGGGGAGGGGCAACTGTCAGCCACTGGGAGGAGACCAGGGATGCTGCCCTATGTCTACAATGCACAGAATAGGCTGCTACTACAAAAGAATTATCTAGTCCAAAATGTCAGTAATGTTGAAGTTTAGAAACCTTGGTTTAACCTTTGATCCATTTCTGTTTTCTGATTTAAAATGTAAACATTGAAATTAATTTTCATTGTCAGTATCACTTAGGGATTATTAAATAAAATCTGTTCTTTAAACATTGTTTTTCAGTAATATTTGGTGAAGATGTCGCCTTTGGCGGAGTCTTTAGATGTACTGTTGGCTTGCGAGACAAATATGGTAAGTTAACATAAAGATGCTAACTTTATATGAAGAGCATTTCTGTATATTTTTTCTTTAAATGTCCTGAAGATAAAAATATGCCTGTTACGTTATCTGCCATTTTCTTATTGTATAGATAGTTGTTGGTTTCTCATTTTGGTTTTGTTTTCCGTATCCACAGCCATCCACAGAATCCTTTGGCCTACATTCCTCCAGATGTATTCTTTTTGCAGCATCCCTCTGATCTGGTTCAGATCACACATATTTTAGATGCCAAAATAATCTTCATCAAATGTATGGTTTTTCATGTCATTCAAATCCAGGAAGCTTTGATCTCTTAGTACTGCCTACCTTAGCCAATTTTGATTCCAGTGCCTCTAGTTCAAGATTCTACCTTATTGCTTTCTGTTAAGAGATTTCGTCTTTTATTACCTGGGTTAATTGGGGTTCTCCAGAGAATTAGAAGCGTTAGGAAATACATACCTGTATCTATGTATGTGTGTGCATACGTATGTGTGTTATATAAGCATCTATATCTATTTGTAGTTATATGTATCTCTATATATGTGTGTATGTCTATACCTATATCTATATTGAGAAAGAAAGATTTATTTTTAAGGCATTGGCTCACACAATGAGGGGGCTGACAAGTCTGAAATCCATAGGGCAAGCCAGTAAGCTGGAAACTCAGGCAGGATTTCTGTGTTGCAGTCTTCAGGCTGAATTTCTTGTTTGGGAACCTGTCTTTTTTCCTAAGGCCTTCAAATGATTGGGTGAAGGCCCTCCATATTATGAAGGGTCATCTGCTTTACTGAAAGTCTACTGACTTAAATGTTAATCACATCTAAAGAATATTTTCAGAGCAACATCTATACTGGTATTTGATCAAACAACCGGGTGCTATCACCTAGCCGAGTGGACATACAAAATCTACCATCCTCCCCGCCCCCAAAAGAAAAAATTACCATCCCATTATTCTTTTACATGTTTTACGTCCTCTGATGTCTGTCTTCTGCTTGGCATGTGATTGATTTTTGCCTGTTTCTCTTACCTCATGTGACTCAGACCCCAGAGTGCATGCTGGCCCATCCTGACATCCTCCTTCAACTATATTTCAACTCCTTACTGTGAGGGGTGACTTTGAGGTGATTGACTTTTTGTTTCGTCTCTCAGTCTTAACTAAACTGAAAGTCAGCAAAGAAAGCACTTAAGTTTAGGGGAGGAACTGACATCTGCCTTTCTGTTTACCTTTGCCACTGCTCTCTAAAGCTCATGGGTGCACTCAAGCGGGGGATCTTTCCGATTTTTTTTTTCTCTTCTAATTGTTCCTTGTCCCACTCTTCTCTGAGATTATCTCATATTTGAATCTGAGACCCCCTGGCATGTTCCATCTCGCTTACCAGGAAGTTCTCTTCTCTTTATAGCAGGTTCATTTTCTGAGTCCTGTCCCTCTGCTTTCTCCTGTTGATTTCTAATAGCTGTTTAGAGTTTGAGATAGTTGGGGCAATCTCACCTAGCTCACACTAGCTCAGTTAGTTCCAATCCAGCTAATTCAGATGCCTACAAACTTTAGCTCTTTAAAATAAATTTCAAAGTCTTTATGCATTTGATTTCAAAGCAATGCATATGCATTGAAGAAAATTTAGAAAATATAGAAAAGCATAGAGGAGAAATATAAAATTGTCCATACTTCCAGAGATAATCTAGAGAAAACCATGGTACCCCTCTTGGTATACACACTTCCAGACCATATTTGAATATCTCTGAGTATATTTGCAATAGTAACTGATGTTAAACACAGAATCATACTTTTATTTTTTTCTTAGGATTTTCAGCTCTGCTTACCTTGCCCACCCGTTCTTGCATATTGTCTACTCTATCCTTTGAAACCCTTAGCATATATTTGTCAGAGTTGTTTTAAATCCCTGGCCTAGATAATTCTAGTCCCTGCCTGTCTGGTTCTAATTGCTCTGTCTCTTCAAATTGTGATTTTGCCTTTTGGTATGCCTTGTAATTTTTTCTTGCTAGCTGGACATGATACACTGGGTAAAAGGAACTGCTGTGAATAGGCCTTTAGGAATGTGTTGGCGAAGTGTGTGGGGAAGGGAAGCATTCTGTAGTCTTGTGATTAGGTCTCAGTCCTTTATTGAGCCGATGCCTCTGGACTGTGAACTACCCAGGTGTTTTTACTTCTCTCTCAAGTGGGACAGGATGGCTGGAGCTGCCTGGAGTTGGGCATCCTCCTTCCCCCAGGCCAATTACACTTGGACAATAAGTACCCAGCAGATGAGGCTCTGGTTAACTAGTTTCACCTGACATTAGGCTTTTTAAAGAAGGGCATGCTCTGGCGTATTTCAAAGTGGTTCCTTGTCCGCTTCTCCAGCTGGAAGCAAGAGGAGATTTTTCTTCCTTGTTTATCATAGGAACCTGGTCGACCTGGAGGTAAGCCTCACAAAACTGGGGAGGCCTTCTTATGACTCATTTCCCTGGCATTTGTAACTCAGACTTATTCACATGGAGCCTCCAGCAATTTCTCAATCACAGTTCAAGTTCTCCTAGCCTGGTACCGGTGCTGACAATGGCTTTTTACTCTCCAGTCTCTGTTCTGGTAAAGTCAAGATTCCCTGTATTCCTGTCTGTCTCTTCAGTCTCAAGGACAGCAGTTGGCTCTGTGTCCTCTCCTCTCGTATGGGTCCAAGAAGAGTTGTTGATTTTTCAGTCTGTTCAGCTTTTACTTGCTATTAGGACAGTGTAGAACTGGAAACCAGAGGTTTCAGCTCCTCACATGTGGAACTGGAAACCAGAGGTCAAGTGGGGCTCACGTTACTTAGCCTCGTCCACATGTGGCGTGGCTGTGCTGCCGAGCAGCGCACTGCCCTGGCTCTCCTGTCTCGCCTGCACCAGGGTGGTAGCATGCCCACTGCTTGTTTAAGCTGGCGAGTCTCCTGTTGGCTGCCTGCCCGAATTCTCATCCGTGGGCTCTTCAGCCTGTGCCCATTCTGTTGGGGACATTCCATCCCTGTCCTCTGCTGCTCACACTGGAGGGACTTCTGAATTTCTAGATCCAGTTTAGACCTCTGACTTGAGCTTCTATCATAGCACATCTTCATCTCCATGCTCCAGTCACTTCACACTCAGCATTTACAAACTCAGCTGAGTGCATTCTCTCCACCCAGCACATCCACAGCTCCCACCGCATTTTCTATCTCCGTGAATAGGCCACTATCCGTCTGGTTACCTGAGCCAGAAACTGGGGCTCCTTTCTCATGCTTCACCAGCACCATCCCAGCACATTCATCTTTACAGTTTGTCTCTAAAATGGCCTCTCCTTTCCATTCCCACTTCTCCAGTGTGCATTCAGATCCATAATCACCTTTGCTTGGGCAGTTTCACCACTGTTCTTAGTAATCACCTCACCTCCACTGCCTACCTGGCTGCCAGTGTGATCATTCTAAAAGTCACCCTTGATGGGATACACAAGGGACTCTGAGATCTGCCCTCTGCCTACCTACCTGACCTCATTCACTTTATTCTTTACTAATATTGAATTGCTAGATGTTTTCCCTAAGCCTCTGCTTTTTCCTCCTCCCCTCTCTTCCTTTACACACACTATATGGATCTCTCTCATCTGATTCCTTGGTAAGCTCCACTTTACCTTCAGAAGGTTCCTCTGTAAAGCTCTTCCTGACCTTCCAAGCAGACCCAGGCACTAGTTTTCACTGTTCAGATTTTACATTTTTTTACATATGGCAGGTTGCATTGTGATTGTCTGATCTCTATACCAGACAACTTTTGCAAGGCAATAGATATTTAAGTACTCTGTGCATCCCGAGCTCCTAATACAGTATCTGGCAGTACTTAATAAGTGGATGTTGTTGAGTGAACTTACCCTTCACCCTCTCACCAAGAAAGTGGCCTCCTGCGTCAGAAAGGGGATTTCCTTATTGTCCTTTAATTGATGTTTGGTTGGTCTGATTTTTTTTTTTCTTAAAGGTTAAAACAGGGTGAAAAAGTCTTCCACTCATTGAGGCACTTGCAGATTAGGTCTCTAGACAGGGGGCTGAGCTAATGAACCACTAGTTTTTAGTTTTATTGTCAGCTGCTGTGAATTTTTGTTTTTACAAGTGCTTTAGGACTATGGATTGAAGTTTTGAATAATTCCAGATTGGTCAATATGAACATTAAATCAACTTTCTCTAGTGAGAAGGAGTGAGGTTCAGTCTTCAGGAGTATAGAATAAAGGAAATGGTGAAGAGAAATATTAAAACTTTTTTCCATATTTAAAAAAATAGCATGTATCTTTTAAAAATAATTCTCTGCCTTTTTGAATGCAGGCCAGAGATGTTTAGCTGTACAGAAACATGCCCACTTAGTATTTTTTGAAGTTAAAAGCACTTGTATTTTAAAAGATAATATCGATATCATTGAATATATGGCATTAAATGACCTAGTAAAGAGCATCTTGCAAGGAATGGATTAGCCTTCTGGGGAGGAGCGGAGTGTTGAGAGATAACGGATCACAGTCAGTAGGTGGCAGCCTACACTTCGAAATGAGACTGTCCTACTATCTTCGCCGGCTTGGTACCAATACTCCGCAACTGTGGGAAGCATTTTAAATCCCACCAGAAGGGAGAATTTGAAGAATTGCTGGTCACTGACCTAATATCGTGATGCTGAGTACTACTTAATATTAAAAAGAAGGAACTGTATAATTAGGGACCGTGCTGTTAAAAAAAAAAAAAAAAGAATGAGCTCTTTTGAACTCCAGATAATCCAGATGAGTGAGTATAGCACCCCTAAAGCACTGTTCTCCTTCCCTTGTCCTTTGATGGAACAAAATAATAAGGATGGTTTGAAAACTGAAAGTAGTCTAACCTTACTGACACATTGCACACCAAATATCAGCTTTAGCCTTTTTAAGCAAGGGATCCCTTGCTCCGGAGCAACAGTTGAAACTAGGTATATCCTCGGGAAGCCCTGGGTAGGAGAGGGCAGTTCAAATGGTAATTGATTTTTTT